TTTTCTAACCCAACTGACCCATCATTCTCCAAAATAGGTTGACTTTCTCACTCTTTGGCCTTTGACACCGAGTCTGGGAGAGAATACTGGAGATCCACACACACACTGCCACTGCAATGAAGGGTCTCGCTGGAATGGCGAAGACCTGACCGGAAGTGCGTAGGAAAACGTGTCAGAGTCGGGTCAGTCCGCGGGAGGACCGACCCCGACCCAGTACAGCGCGCATGCCCAGGAAGGTCATGGTATATGCTAGCAGACGCAAGGGCCTGGGCGGAGCGTGTAACATGACCGCTTCAGGCTGCCAAAGTGCCAGACGCTTTAAGAATCTGTAACGTTCCCTGCGCGAAACAACGGGCATGCGAAGTAAAGCGAAATTGGGTAATGGTATATTTATATGAACATATTTATAGGGTTTATATTTATTTCGCCGTATAGGCGCGGTCACCGATTCTAAAGTCTAGCCAATATGGCTGCCGTAAGTTACAGGTTATAGTGTTTTTCACTTGACTCAGACATTCACTTGACTCAGACACACGTGCATGTGACGTTCCTCATGCATGGGTGTCGAAGTCAAGTGAACAAGTGTCTGACTCGAGTGAAAAACACTGTAATATGTCTAGATTTTAAATTTCCTGAAATCAAAATGTTAGCCACACAGTATTTTTTATTGCAAGCGCTGCAATAGAATAGAATTGAATACAGAAATAATTTTTATTCCAACAACAAAAACAGACCTTACATTTTTAAGCCAAGGCGATTGCCCAACAGTTACTATTAAGCCTATCATCGTGGGAGCACGCCAGGCCCGACGGACCACGTGCATGGCACTCTGGGCACAGTGGGTTGATTTCAGTGATGTTAGACGTCTGAAGAAGAAGAATAGAATCAAGCTTATTTTCAAAAGTCAAACCGCTCAAAAATTCACCAGACGAATACCATATGTAAGATATGTAACGACAAGGTCTAGTTTCCTATATATGGAACATCAGTACGTTCACAATAGTTCATGGTAGCCGTCGAGTTGGGTAACTTAAAGAAACGTCATTGTTGGAAAGTGACTTTGCTATGGCTGCCCGCTAGATTACTGTGCTTCTCCCGCATCAATTCATGTTAAATGCAGCGACTGCTGCTGAGATGAGACGCAGCCTGTGTTCTCATGTCCTGGACCTCTGATATGTGTATTTGTGCCCAGATACGTCAATCTAATTGTGGCCCGATTCGGCACTAGGCCTGTTGGCTATTGCTCTGATTTCAGAAAAGGATGGGTGTATGCTCTATAGTAAAGCCAATACAGAAGAAAATGAAAGGGTATCACGCAGCAGTTAACGGAAGTGCTCAATTATAATTGGAGAAGGAAAATAGGTCTAGGACATGGTGAAAGAGAGAGGGAAGGGGGTGGTTGAAAACGGTAGGGAGTGGAGCTAACTAATAAGAACGAATGATTAGAGAAAGATGTTTGCAAATGAATCATTTTTTTACCTCCCCAAAACTCTGCTGATTAACCCTGGGCTTTCCAGGTTGTAAGTGCAACTCACACATATCTGATATAAATTACCTCCAAAACAACCATTGTATTATTTCAGCAGATTTTCATGAGATTATCAGCAGTCATTTTCAAATGCCTATTTGAAAAATTTTCTAAATTAGGCTAAATTTTCCTATTGTTTCATTAGATTGATCCAATTCTTACCTGATCATCTCGATCATTTTCACCAGTGCTACAGGAATATGTTACTCTAAAAACCTATATCGATTTCTGGAATAGAATTTATTTACAAGAATATTTGTTGGTCTTAACTGTTTCAGTGCTCTTGAGCCGATTGTGCCAATGGCACCTTCTGGCCATAGGCCCAACAACACTGAAACAGTTATTGTGCCATCCTTTCAAATTATTTGCTGAATGCAGGAAGCATTTAAGAGGGCCTGTAAATACCTAAATCTCCTCATGAAGTAATATTGTGCTGCCTACTTCAATGGATGTTTCAGGAAGAGCAAAACAGGAAAATCAATGTTATCCATGTCATGATCTTGAATGAAATCACTTCTTCTTGTCTGGCTTGAATATTCTGATGCTAATGTCATCATTTACTGTGATTTGCATTACAGGTCAGAGGAAAAAGAGATTTAGTTGCCATGGATGAGCAGTTGTTCCTTCGCTGGAATGATTTCCAGCAAAACTTTGCGGTTATGTTCCAGAAGATGCAGGAGAGTGAAGATTTTGTTGATGTGACACTGGCATGTGATGGATCTAGCATTGGAGCCCACAAAATGGTTTTAGCTGCATGGAGTCCCTACTTGAAGAAGCTCCTGAAATCAAACCCCTGTACTCATCCTATTGTTGTGCTAAATCATGTATATTTTTCTGACTTGGTTCTTCTCATCAGATTCATGTATCAAGGAGAGGTAACTCTGTCAGAAGAGCAGCTTGCATCCTTCCTTCGAACAGCACAGAATCTGGAAATACGTGGTCTCACTCAGTTCACACATGGAAACAAAAGTGAAGATCGCAGCAAGACTGCCACCTCTTCACAGACAAGCTCCAAGAGGGAGTCTGACCAAAGAAGTTCTGTGTCCTCCAAACGTTTCAAGAGTCAAGATCTTTCTGTGAAGACATATCCTCTGGAAAGTCCTGATGAGGATGATGCTACTGAGCTCATAACACCCAAAATAGAAATCACAGAGGACATTAGTGAAAATGGTGGGAGCTTTGAGAATCATCATGATGAACCTATGTCTGAAAAATGCCTCAGTGATGAAGTAACCACACGAATTCCAATTCATACATTCCCTTCAGTGCGAAAAGATAGAAAACTGAAACTACGTCATGTTGCTATTGGTACTATAGATACCTCAGATGCTACAGCTGAGGCATCTTGTGCCCAACCAAGATCAGAGAGGAAAACTCTTCCAAAGAATATTGAACATTTGGAGCATGTTGTGGAAAGCCAGTTTCCTTCAGAAGACGATGTGAAGGTGTGCAACTTTCCATGTCCTTTCTGTGATAAAGAGTACACAAATTGGGGATTCAGGCGAAGGCACATCAAAGCCTTACACACTGTGAGCTCCCATTTGCCATGCAAATGGTGTTATGCAATCCTTCCAACTCATGAAGAATGGGAAAAGCATGTAATTGCAGACCATAATGTCCAGCCTTGTGATGCACAGAGTGCACTCATGATACTTGATGAAGCAAATATGGTCTTGCAGAATCCTCATCCTACCAAATTAGATGTGATCATTAACAAACTACAAAAGTCCTCCTCAAGCACAGATGGAGAGAAGTCTGGACGTGATGAGAAATCAAGTAGAAAAGAAGATTCTTAAGTTCCAGGTGAATTGACATTCCAATTTTGCCAAGTGGCACTTTACTAATAAAATCAAGTTCATACTAATTAAGTCATTCATTTCTCTTACCCCATTCCAAAAAAAAAGGAAAATGGGACTCATTCACCTGATTGTTAGGGGGTACCCATTAAGCCTGACCATAATGGAATGATTGATAATTAAAATAAATAGTGTAATTTTTATTTTGGCCAGTCACACTTCATAACAATGGACTTCTTCAGCATCAACCCTTTTACATCTCTATGCCAGTGTTACACCACTCTTTTGACACCCCTTCAGACCACTTTTCAGTTTCATGCTTCACTGGGTTATCATCCTGAAATCTATTCCCATCCAGATCTTCCTTCAGATGTGAAAGTACGTTAATGTCACAGTTTGCCAGGTTGGGTGAATACAGCAATTTTTTTTTCTTCATCTAGTGATGTGGATGCCACCCTACAAAACATTGACTGTGTGAGCTGCGAATTGTAACACAATTAAGGACCCCAAATGCCCACATTTCTTGCAATTCTTGGCAGATTCGTGTGACCACAGAAATGCAGCATAATACTGTACTGAACCATAATTGTACTGTAACCTGACAGCAGATGGAGGCATGAAGTCGGTGTGCGAGGGGCGAAGTTCTTTTTCAAGACCAGATATGTCGTAGATATCACGAGTGGACTCACCAAATATGGAAGGGAACCAACCGTGTCAGTCCGAACGTAAACAATTTTTTTGGGTCTTGTCATGTTCCAGCGTATGAAAAAAAGCTATCTCAATCGGTTGTGGGACTTCCGGTTAATCGAAATCAAAGGAAGATTTTCATTCAAAATTGATAGTTGGTCGCGTCTCATGGGATTTATCGCAGTTGGACGGTGCATTCCCCGTGTTCTCAAGCATCGTCCTTGGGTTGTACGAAAAGGTTCTTCGTGTTTTTCACTTGACTTCGACACTCATGCATGAGGAACATTCTATGCACGTGTGTCCGAGTCAGGTGAAAAATTGCCTAACTCAAATGAGAAACATTGTAGAAACCTGGCTAGGTCAACGAGGGCCTGTTATGTGCGCTCCTGCCCCCTTCCTGATCTCCAGATATGACTCCAAACTCGCATCGCTGTCATTGCACTGGAGATCCAGTTACCATTACCATGCCATTACACTGGAGAAGTACTTGATGCTGCATGGAAGCAGGAGTGCCCTGCTTCCGACGATGCACATATCGAGCATTTGCCATTAAACTATGCGCTGCCTATGAGGCTGGCTTTTGCCCAACCCTGTATCCCTCAGCCCAACTGAAGATATGTCACTAATGCATATACACTAGCGTCATCTCTTACATTTTTGGATGAACTATACTCGACGGTGGTCACAGGCTATGATGAAATCTACAGATGATTTATTTCCACTTTCTTTGGAACCTTGATGATGGATGATCCAGCTGTGTTCCAAGTGGGAAAGAGCATGGGATCATAGGTTTCAATTTTTTCTCAGCCAGAATGCTGCCATATCTCGGGGAACACGAAATGCCAAATCGTCTCCTATCTTGTCGAGAGACCCTTTTCTCTCCGGTGAAATAGAGAACGGTTTCAGTGATTTTTGGAATGAGATTTCATACACTTGTTATGGAAAACCTTGTTTTCTAGAGGCATACCAACGCCAGAACTAACGTTTTCTCCGTCCTACGATAGATGTCGGATGCGACCCGTCTGGCGCATTCATGGTTATACTGAAGCGACAAGCCTCAAGCACTCAACTGATGGTCCCGCATCTCCATGAAAACTCAACACGTCACAAGAATCGAACCTTTCGCAGCACCAGTGGCGTCCGTACAGGGGAGCGTGAACTCATCCCGAAATCACTGAACTCTACCGGAGTCGCCTGGTTCACCGTGCTTGGACGAGAGAGCAACAGGATATGTTTTCGGCGACTTTGAGTCGAAGCAAAATTGTTTACATTCTCACTTTCACATGGTGAACAGAGACAGGGTGATAAGCGGGGGGTCCATAGAAATAGAATGTACTGTATCAGCGGATATACCCTACTTTTTTTCTGGAACAATATCTTCATGTGTCATTTCTTGCCAGGGGATTCCAGCGGCTATATGGAAGGTCTCAAATGCGAGTAATCCAAAAAATATTTAAATGAGGAGTTCGCTTCAAGGATTAGATTTTAGCTCCACGCATTCGCGCTGTTAATTATATCTCTGAAACGTCTTCGTTTCGAGGAAGAAGTGGGAGTCACACGGGATTCTTCCAACCGCTTTGTGGCCGTACATGGCCTTAAACTGGGGAAGAAATCGGGTGACCCCGATATGCTGTGAAGCGACGTTCAGAACAACATGTATTCTTGAAAAATTTAATTGCAAATGTATGCAAATGCTTTCGCTTTCCCTCCGGGAGGCATAATATCCAATTCAACCAGGAAAGTCGAGAAACCATTTTCATAATCAGGAACACGCCTCTTGGTCGTCTGTAAATAGTTCATTAGTGGATTCTTGTCTTCTAGTATTTCATGGGTTCAATGAATTGCATTTAAACTGGAACAATCAGCGTGTAGAACCTGACCAACACTGTTTGCATGCGCATAATCAACATGCGACTTATTTCCCTCATATACCAGGTTTTTCACTTGAAGAAGTTCAATGGACTGATGAGGGACTGCAGACAGTTTATAAACATTGCATTCCACTGCAGTTCATGTATTTGTCTTGAGTCTCGATAGTACTGCCACACTAATGAAGTACTGAATTGTGCTTTTATTTAGAAATGCAAACATTCATATAAAAAGAGGGACTTCAAAAAAAACTCATCACATAGAAAATTTGAAAAAAAGCGTACAACTTTATCCAGCTCAGGAAAGCAGAAATATCATGTTCGAATTGGGAAAGAGGCATTTGGCACTCATCTAGTTTTGATGACACGAGATATGACTGAGAAGGCCATGCAGAAGATGTAGGCACATAGATCCTGATTCAGTTCATCACGAGTCTATCTTTTGATACAAAATTTACAGGCAAGAGTGCACTCAACTGCGTCTATTCTTGAACGACATTGCTTCCAATTGAGTGTCTCCTTGTATAAAGCTCTAAAGCACATCACGATTCAATGATTATAAATTATTACCATACAAAAAAATGAGGAGGAATTCCCAGGAGAACCTGGGAGGTCCATGATCACAATAAAGGCATAAGGCAGAGAGAACATGGGGAGAACCAAAAAATAATGAATTAGAGGGAATTCAGATATTTTTCGATGACATGGGGCATTTCCCCTAATTTAATACATATAATCCCTTCTAATATATGTGCTGATATATGAATTAAAAATTAATTATAAAATAGTGAGACCAACATTTGATCAAAATCAAGAACCAAATGGCACAGGTGACTTGCACTGCACTGGAGCGAAATATTTTTGTTAACCCCATGTTCCTTTTGCACTTCCCTGACTTGAGCTACACAATCACCTCAGTACTTGTCACGATATCACTGCTTGGAGTATCAGAACTGTCCGAGGAAATGTGCACGATGTGTGTCGTCCTTTTTATGGACGGCAGAGTCCTCAAGTTGACGTCTTTCTCGAACTGTTTATGAGGCCACGCCTGGTCCTCGACGGGCGTCGTGTTCTTCTGCACCTCCGGACTCCGCGCCTTGAAGATGTGGCTTGGAATGTCCCCCCCGGACCTCTTCAGGTCCAGGTCCAGCATCTCGGTGGACACACTGGCCAGCGAGCACATCTTGGTGCTCGCACTCATGCTCGCCTTCAGGGAGTACCGCCCCGCACCTTCTGGTGTCCACGACCTCCCCTTCGCGACGCGCTGCACCCGATAGCCCCCTCCTTCGTCTTCCACTGGACTGTTTTTCAACGGGTTGTGGTACCGGCGCAGATTTTCCTCGTTCTGAATATTGTTGGAGCGCTCGATCTCGTAGTCCTCGTTGTACTTGGAACAAGCGTGCATGTGACTGTTTGCAGTTCGTCGATGATGACAGATGAATACGAAGAGAATGAGTAGAAGGAGGAGGATTACGGGCAAGGCACAGATGAAGACGATCTGGTACAAGTAGCCTGCAAGACAGAACGACATCTCAGACGTCTCTTCTCCCTCCCATGTGAACCGAGGAAAAAAAAGTATTTACCTGAATCCCGTTCGTGAGTAGAAAGAAGAGCCGTCTCCACCTTGACCTCTGAGACGGCTGCCAAAGCACCGATGTGTGTCTGCTTCCTGCTGATGATGTCCCCGAGTAGCTGGGCGAGGCCGCTTGCGTTTCTTTCCCCACCTGGAGTCGACTGCAGGGACAGAATATACAGAGCATAGAATGTGCTAATTGCAAAAGTACCACATTGGAAAAGCCCACCCGAGGCTTACATTAGATACTTGATTTTAACGAGAAAAGAAGACTGTCTTGTGAGTGATGGTTAGAGCCATCCTCTAAAACTTTATAACCTTCCGCAAACAACGAAACCCAAGGAGGAAACTCACGACGGTGATCTCGAAGACATCGGTGAGGCCATGTTTGAGATCGCAGAGAATGACGACCAAGCCCGGCTGGGCGAGATGGAGCGTCAACAGGCGACGCAACTGCGAACAGACGCCTTCAACAGAGCTGCCCCTCGGCAGGAGGTGAGGTATGAAGAGCAGCGTGAGGCGGGCACACGTGTTCGACGGGATCGCCTGATTCGGGTGGCACGAAGGCGGAGCTGGTCCCAGCGACGATGGGCCTGGGGATCCCTCCGGGAGACAATGTCCCCACGGGGAACACGGCGGGGAAAGACATCGATCCAGGGACCACGGGACGCATTCCTCCGACGGGGCGCATTGGACAGAACCGGACGATTCTCTTCTGTCTCGACCGGGGAAGCAATTCCCCATCCCGTGGCCACACCACATTTGGGAGCAAGTGACCTCTCCGTCGTGGCACCTGCACGTGTTGCAGTCCTCGTTCCAAGAAGAGTTGCTCGCGTACATACGTCCTTCCCTCAGGCACGGCTTCTCTGATCCTCCCCCCAGCACTGGAACATGAGAAAAGTTCTAGAGACTCCCAAGAAGTATCCGATATACAGGTACTGACGTTAAACACTTGGACCGTTTCAGTCACATATGAAAGGAGCCGAACCTCGAGCAATGCTGCTATCAGAGCCTATATTGCATGTATTGTAGGAAGACCCTTCCCCGACTTATTAAAATGTTTCATCACGATCGAAAAACGGATAGACATATACTATCATGTTAAACGTTCGGCATTGGGTTCCAAAGATGCCGAAACTTTCCTGGTGCAATAATGGCAACGATGTCCATAAGTGAGCACTTTCAACAATATGCATGCTCATCCTCAACATCTGGTTCTTCTCAATAAATTCCCTATCTCCAAGATAGGCCAAAAACGCCACACCAGGTTCGACACGGAAAAGAAGTATCCAAAAAGTAGCCCAGGAGATGTATCACACATCGTATCAGAGGTAATAATACGCTCTTCATACAGATAGGCTCTGTTTATCAGGCTTCCCAAGTATTAAAACAGTTGAAAATCCCCGAGGTCGCCTGCTGCGATCGTAGCAGCCTTCAGGTCAGGAGGCTCATATCAACGATTCACCGACTGGAAATCGTTACTTCACGCCTTGAACATAAGAAGGATCCAAAACGGGAAGCTTACAGTATTGGCATCGATCGCCGGTGTGATCCGGCGGACAGATGCATCTGTGCGAAGATGAATCCTTCAAGCCCGGGATGCACGTGGCACCGTGAGCGCAGGGATTGGAGGTGCACCCGGTGATGCGAAGTCGGCAGTCTGGTCCCGTGAAACCCGGTGGGCATTCGCAGATGAACCAATTCACGTGATCCACGCACGTTCCTCCGTTGTAGCATGGCATGGGGTTGCAGTTGTTCACGTCTGCTCGGGAGGAAGAACCAGTTCAGCAAATTTTGCGCCTTCGAAGGATTCCCTGGATGTAACTTAGGTAAGGGTGGAAGGAAAGGCTCACTCTGCTCGCAGTGAAGTCCCTTGAATCCTTCCTTGCAGATGCAGGAAAAGAATTGCCCCGTGTTGATGCACGTCCCATCGTTCTGACACGGATTAGAGTCGCACGCCCGCCTCGTAGCTGCAAGAGAATCCACAGGTTCCATCCCCATCCTCGACCGAAGAAAGAAAAAGAGCGACAGAAGCTGCATCACTTACAAAGATGGCAAACGGATCCCATCCACGCAGGAGGGCACTGGCAAGCGAAGGTGTGCCCCAGGTCCAGGCAGGTCCCGCCGTTTCGGCACGGATGGGAGTCGTTGCAGTGGCTCACCAGCGATGTGCAAAGCCGACCTCTCCAACCGCCTTGGCATTCGCACCGGAAATCCCCCACCAGATCCGTACACGTCCCGTTGTTTCGGCAAGGGTTGGGCTCGCATTCGTTCTTGTCTGCAAGGACACACACGGGAAAGTTCCCATAATGAGTCGAGAACCAATTCCCAGCTTTTTTTTTCCTCATTTCTATTCTCTGACTGAAATTTTCAGATCTGTGAACCCAGTGAAAGGGGCTTTATGTCATGTCAATGATGAAGTTGATCATGAATGGCGCCTCGTCACAGAATCCCCTTTATGGAACGAGCGTGTATATTGCAAGTACTAAGTACTATGGAGATCAAAGGTGAAAGACAGTCATAACTTACTGATACTGCAATTGGGACCCTCCCATCCTTGAGGGCATATACACTGGTAGGAATTCACCCCATCCACACAGGTCCCCCCATTCTGGCACTCCGCCAATTCGCAATCGTCGATATCTAGAGGGGAATAACGACCAGAGGACATGAAAACAATCATCCTGAGCACCAGCATCAGGCCCTTAATGACTCTTTGATGAGAGGGCGTCGGCTGTAATTCATTAGCATGCGAATGAACCTCGTTGCACATGACAATGACAACTACACGGATCTCTTCATCCTATGATTTAATCATCATGAAGATTGATGAGTGCTCCAAGTTCCATACGAGTAGGACTTTTCTAATGACGTCTTATCTATCCAGAAAAACATCTCGGGATAATTTCCAAAGGAGACTGACGGTTTCTCGACCCCGGGACGAGCCTGCCAAACGAACGTAACTTCGCAGGAATGCCCCACGCATTTATCGGCATGCAAAAGATGTTGAAGGCAGGGAAAAAGACAAGCCGAGATGGAATTCCTAGAAAGGCATCTCGTATGGAATGGCCGGGTGGACATTGTGAGAGGGAGGGCAATTAAAAAGGACGTGCATGGTTCCAGATGAGTGGGGGCGAGAAATCTCCGACTCATTAAGGATGGAAGTTTGCGGACTCCGTCCCACTCCAGGTGAAGGTAAATACAAAGATGGCCTGGTAACAGGACACCCTAAGACATGCCCGACCAGATCAAACACTTTTTCCCATCGAGTGCTCGCGTATTGATCGATCGATCAATTGACCGAGCTGTGACATCGGACGAGGGCAAAAATCAAACAAGGAGACATTCCTCTCGGAGAGAAGAATTGCGACTCACTGTGCTGGCAGTAGGTTCCACTGAATCCGGGGTGGCAGGCACACATGAACCGCGAATCGGGGAGAGGCACGCACGACCCGTGATTGCCACACACGGCGGAGGGCACCCGGATGAACCCCGTCCAGCTCTCGTTCCAAGGCACCTGCACCGTGCAGATGTCCACTGGAAAAACGATCATTCAAATGCTGTCAACCGATGCACTTCAACTAACCTTTTCTGTTTATTCCCCACTCCGTCCCCAGTATACTAGAACCTCAGTATAATACACATCTGAATGAGGATGCGCTCGATGGATTCCGAGAAAAAAAAAAACGCATCGATGGAGCCTCCGCCACTCAACTCTCAATCTCAATTATTGCCGACGGAGAATTCCTACCTGACGCCACGAGACGGGCAGACGGACAGGGTCATGACCATCACGACCGTCACGGTATCGGGGAAAAAGACCACCCTCATGGATACCGCGAGATGATTTTGACGTCTCCATTTTTAAGGCAGAATCATTCTTGGTCCCAGCGTGAGATCCACCCTCAGCCTCGGGGCTTCTCCCCGAGTATATGAAAATTCATATCATTATGCGCATCGGCGAGGGAGGAAGTCTAATTGTTCTCAGAGGGTGTCCCAGTAGCCCCACTATCGGTTACATCTCATCAATAAAAATTGCTCTTTCTTACTCTCCTCCCCTCGCAATTTGGGGAGAAAACATCGTGGCCGACTTCTCTTTCTTTCTTCCTTTCCCTTCTTTTAGACGAGGTCTAGGGACGCAGAAGTCATCGCGAGAACAAATTTCATCGATTAATCCTCGGGTATTCATGGCTCATTACCGGGGTAATAATCGGGGTACCACCCGGTGAGAGGTGGGCCCATCATAATGACGTATGAGGCTGTTGTTACTAATAATTAGCAGGGGGACAATCGAATCCGAGATGGCGTCATTTGTCGGGGTCGATGGGGATCCCCGATGCCACAGGCCAGAAATCTTCAACTCGATCGCGATCCTCTGGCGACGAGGTGGAAAAAAAAAAAAACCGGCGGTCATCGGACCTTTGATTGCGCCGCTGCTAAACGCCTCGTCGCAACGAGGCTACAAAGTGTTTCGTAAACAAGCATAACGATGCTTCGTCTCCGCTTCACGGCGCAGCGAAGGGAAAGTGAATCGGCCGAAGGAGGGGAAACCCACGAAGAATGCGGGGAGGACGAGACAACAACTAACGGGGATCGTCTAAAGTGAAGGGATCGCATTTTGCTGGAAGGAACCTGGTCATTTACTGCATGCAAGCACGTGTCGCCCCGCCCTCTCAATTGGATGGATATCGGGTGAAGAAGGAAGAAAATGCATGGAATGGGCCGAAGGGCCTCGGGCCCTGGCCTGACCATCACCGATAGACCATACCAGAGGCCATCTCCTACAAAAGGACAATTTTAATCATATGCCTTTTCCCCTCCTTCCCATTTGTTTGGTCTGAGAAAACAATACGGTCTAGGGGAGAGAATGAATGAGTGGCTACGGGCGAGAATTAAAGACCACCATGCTTTAATTCCCTTACTCATATTTAAGCCATGCATTGTGTAGTCCTTACCTGGACAAGGAGGATTGTTGCAGGCGACTCGGGGTGTCTGGCAATTTTTTCCTCCCCAAAGGTCTCCACATTGGCAGATGTAGTCCCCGGGAACTTTGAAACAAACGCCATCATTCCTGCACGGATTCGGCTTGCACATGTTCGCGTCCTCCTGAAAAAAGGTTAATAAGCTCAACGTTAATTCGATCGGACTAGGAATCGTTTTCTCTGTCCGCCTCGCGGGGCTACGCTTACAACGTAATGATAACGTAACGACATACCGTTGCGAAAGAAATTTATTTATTTCAATGGAACAATAGGCTACCGCAATGATTGACTTGTCTGGCCATCCAACAGAAAGTAACGTGATCAGGTTCTTTAAACGGCACTTAACGGTTTTGCTGCGCTAAGTACCGTTCAAAGCCTTTCGAGTGAAATCTTTCGAGCGAATCCAAAACAAAGCTTAATGCCAGTGCACCCGCAAACCATTCGGCGCGCTGTCCTGCCGCCGCGACGAGCGGCGATCACGCCTCTGGCCTTCTTTCGCCTTCGACCTCGGATCATGCGAAGAGAGGTGAGTGGCGGGGGCTCACCTGGCAAGTGGGTCCAGTGAAGCCGAAGGGGCAGATGCAGCGAAATCCGTCCACGAGATCCACGCATTCTCCGCCGTTCTTGCACGGCGAACTCCCGCATTCGTTCACATTCCTCTCGCAATGACGCCCTGCATCCGGGAAATATTCGATTCGGTCAGACGCCATCAGTTTATTCAGATAACCCATCCAAATGGCGTTAACCACAAACGCAAACAATCTTTCATGACACCAATGATCCAGAGAAATTGAGCTAAAATCTGAAATCGTACACATTACGATGAAACGTGCCTTATTAGCCAGGAACTGAGGAACCTGCTCAACTTTCACTCTCGGTATTCAAACGGATTCCACATCATGAGTCTGTTTAAATCAAAGTTACTCGGGAAGAGTGCCAAGTAAACTAATACGAGACCTCCCAAGGCCAATTCCATCAGGTTTTCAGTAAATGATTAACTCTAAACCCACCATTTGAACCACAGGGCTTAGAAGAAAAAAAAAGGCTACCATTGCATAGAGGAGAGAAGAAAGACGCGAAGAAAGAGAGAGGGAGAAAAGGCAGAGAGAGAGAGAGAGAGAGAGAGAAAAAAAGGACGGAGGTGGTGATGGAGTAATGCTGTCACTTCGTGCGTCCAAGTCTCCCTGTCAGCAACGAGTGAAATGCGATGCAAAGAACCGTGTGTGAGTGTGAGAGGGACCAATTATCTCCCTTCCCTTTGCCTTTGCCCTTCCCTTTGGCCCTTTTATCCTCGTCCCCTTGTCACATTAATTAATGACCATCCATCTCCTGTCCGGCCCTCCCCGAGCATTCCTCACTGCATTTGCGAATACAGAAGGGCGTGGACACGCGGAATTCCCTCTTAGACTCGCTCACCTGACCTCAGCTTGAGACAAGGTTGCTCTTAAAATTGGAGAGGAAAGATTGACGAAAATTTCCCTAAATAAAATATTCGTATGAACGTATGAATTCGTATGATGTATGATTAGCCTCCCGCTCAAGCGAAAGTTCATGCAGTCTTTCCCATTAAACAAATTTTTTTTCCCGTTTCTCCCCGACACCATGCTCCCATGTCTATCACCCTGACGTTTCCAGGTCAGCGAGAGCCCAATTAGCTCATCATCACCCCCACCCCAAAGAGGAAGTGCGAACAAAGCCCGACCTGTGAATCCCGGGGCACAGGCGCAGTGATAGTCGTGGACGAGGTCGATGCAAGTGCCTCCGTGGAGGCACTGACCCAGGCAGTCGTCGATGTTCTGGTCGCAGTCCTTCCCCGTCCAGCCTCGGTGACACTTGCACCGGTAGTCCCCAACCACGTTCACGCATTCCTCGGCGTGAAGACACGGACTGCTTGCGCATTCGTCCACATCTGAATGACATAAAAGGGGGCATGTTTTTCAAGCTCTCGCTTCGAATGTGGGCGTAGCAATCATGCAGTAGCAATCAACGGCTGCATGGTGAAGACCCTTTTTAAATAATCTAATTCTTTTTTATTTTTACATTTAGTTTTAAGGTGGCGTAGGTGTATCCACTTGCCCTAGCTGTGGGAAAATGTTTTTGACTTATGCATGCTTGTTGAATCCGATGGGATCTGATCATACACCAACTGCCTCACAGGGGCGTTCTTGCGTGTGAAAGGCAAATGTAAATCATCAGACCACTTGGCCATCTCAAACATGCCAGGACGGAGTTCCCCTTCGATCTCGAAGTGAAACCTGAACTTCAACCCCCTGGGGTTGGTCTAAGTCAAACTGTCCACAATACAAAAAGACACAACATACACGTACCGAGATGACAGGTTTCTCCTTCCCAACCAGACGGACAGAGGCACTTGAAACCGTTGACCAAATCCACGCAGGTCCCTCCGTGGAGACACGGGGAAGACTCACACTCGTTCATATCTGAAACAAACCACGAACATTATACATCCACCTTATTCGATTACCTTTCCATTCCGGGGGCATTAGATTGGAAGCACTGGGAAAAGCCTGGGAAAAGCGATTCTCGTGACAGTAGCCTTGATCGAAGGCCTTCATTTTCTCCTACCAGTCCATCATAATTAATAGCGATGCTTTATGAGCCGAGAGGCCCCAAGGATGGATGAGGGAGACGTGATCCGACGCACAAAGCGGCTGAAAAAAGATTCCCCTTCCCTTTCCCTTGCCCCATCCCCATGCGAAGCTGGCGTTCGGACCCTAGCTTTCAAAAGCCGCATGGATTCCCCTTATCGTCTGCCTCTGCACCGGCTGCACTTCGTCAAGACCCAGTATCGGGGGCATTCCTGGAACCACCCGTTGTTCACAGCGGCTTTTTGAGTCTGCTCAAAGTATATTTTTTACGTATGAAATGCATCCAGCCTACGTGGGTCTCATTTTCGCGATGGCTGACGAGACCGAAATCAGGATCTGATTTGAATCGGGTTTTATCACAATCTGAGGTTTGATCGTGATAATTTGTCGGAATATAAAATTATGCTCTGAAATGACGCGAGGAAATTATTTGATCCGCGATTTTTCAAACACAAAGCACATGGTAAACAGACGCCGCACGCGCATGAAGTCCAATTTTCATTTAATGGGGATATAACTTCTGCATTTTGCTGCGCTGTAGGGGGTAAGCTATCCCGCAATCATCAAAATAAATTATTGATTTGAATCATGTCCATGATTTGCCATTACATTAATGGCGGTCAAATAATTGACCAGCGAGCGAGACCACGTGATACAACACATTTTTCGACGGATGGGAATCGCAAGCGGCGATTCGACTCGCGAGTGGCCCCGCGATGACTGCGCGGTTCTCGCGAAACATCGGCGAGAGACAATGAGGTCATCGGAGGAAGCGTCCAGTCGGGGTCGGCATGGAATTCCGGGCCCCTGTGTTTGCTTATATCCCCTCGCCACGCACTCGAGAGAAGAAAAAAAAAATGAACCCGGGGGACTCAAAGGATCGGATTTCCTCTCCAGCACAAGTTGTCCCAACTCGAGGTGAAAAGACAAAAGCAAGGGAAAAAATTGTGAGCACGGGAAGAAAGGAACTGGAGGAGTGGTACAAAATACAAAGCCGGTCTCTCCCCTCCTCGACTTTCATTAGTATTTGGGTTTCCCATGGAAAGGGAGAAGAGGAATTTCGCACTTGGGTGCACCCCACTTGGTACTCGGGTATGATTGAGCCACGAAGCTTGACCTTTGATTCTTCCGAGGTTCATGCGAAAGAAAGAAATGACTGCCTCCTTTCATCTCCTCCTCTCCCTCACAATCATCATCATCATCATCATCATCATCATGATCCCGGTCGTGAACGGCTGACATGCAGGCAGGACCTACAACTTGTTACACGCCTCGGGCCACAGATAGAGGAGAGAAACTACCGTCGCTACCATTTCCCCGGCAGTTTCGCCCTTTTTTCCCACGGGGAGTACTAAAAAGGAAGAGGCGGAGCAGCGGGCATAAAAGAAATTCAGGGACCAGCTCCGATAAAAAATACCGGTTCGCGAAGTGATTGTCCTGCATCTGATACCGCGATGGTAAAAACTCGACTAAAAAAAAAAAAAAGAAAGAAAAAAAACCTTCCCAGCCATACCCAAAGCTTGATTACGCTCATAAATTGCCCATACAGGCTTCCACTCCCATGACTCATGAGGCCCGTCAGAAGGAATATAGTATTCAGCACGGTATAATAGGCATGCATATACGAGCCCAAACTCACTGATTTGACAGGTTTCTCCCGTCCATCCGGGCGCACAGACGCAGTGAAACCCAGCCGGTTCTTCTTCGAGGCAAGTGCCAGAATGGCGACACGGAGCGGGCGCGCACGGGTGCTCCACCACCTCGCAATTGACCCCCGAGAACCCTTCCGGGCAGGTGCACCGATATTTGTCGGGTGCCACGTTCTCGCAGGTCCCTCCGTTCAGGCACGGCTCGTGGGTCCCACAGTAGTTGAGATCTAGGCACAAAAATACAACCACATTTACAGTAGGTATTAGAATGTGTTTTGATATATTATAATGGTGGGGCCCCCTTATCATGGTATTTAATCGAGGGGATGTCTCCCTCTGGTGCATATCCATCATGCGGATGCCCCCAGGCTCCAAGCCCGAAATGAAAACACGGATTCCATTTCCATGGACCGAGATGCAACACTGGTTCTCCAGTGGCCCCCTTGAACACACGTTCCGGATATTAATCGATCCCCGCACGCAAATCCCCACTTATTCCCGCAAATGATGCGAACAATGAACTCCGACGGCGGGAGGAAACAAAGAACCGACCGGACCAGAGGAGAAGACGATTCCGTCGGATTCTTTCTCGCCTCTCCTCATCATCACGATTCCTCCTCGCTCTAATGGAGCAACTCTGTATCGATAGGCAGGAGGGTCTCTTCTCGGGAAGTGTCTCGATAATCATCACGAAGCAAGAATAAAGCGGGGATATGAATAATTCCGTTCCTCATCCATCCGTCAAGTGGTCTGTATCGATGAATCATTCATCGAGAGTCTTTTCAGGATGTTCAACAGTTTGGAAACGGGCGAGGGAGAAAAGAACTTCATTATACCTGTCACGCCCATATCAGTAGAAATGGGATTAAAAACATTTTGCACCCCTCGATCTCGACGAAAACGAATCCCCCCCTCATCCCGAATATCGGATTAAGGCCAACTGTTCCGTTCCCCACCATTTCCATGCCTGCATAACATCGTCATGCCTCCCCGCCCGTCACGTGACCGCATTCCGACGCGCGTCTGTGCCATCCCGTCGCTCGAAACGGCACAAGGAGCTCGAAACGGCGCAAGGAGCTCGAAACGGCGCAAGGCGAGCACGGACGTGGAGGGGAAAGGGGGATTTCTGGTGTCATTCCTATGACCCACGACCGAAGAAAGAAAGAGAGAAAACTGTGAGAACCTGAAGGGCTCGTAAAGGAAAAGACATAAAAGCCTCGGGAATGCCTTATGGGATTTTATTATGCAACTCGCCTTGAATGAACCGCATGATAAGTGGCCTATCAGTGGGCTCTTATGATCCCTTCTCTCGAGACACGTCCACTGGCGGGTGTTTCAATGGCGAATCCTTTTGGAGGCAAGAACAAAAGCCCTGCTTCGGGAATGGAGCAGATCTTTTTTCTTCGTCTGCCTTTTTTCCCTATCATGGAGCATATAATTACCCCTCTTTTCCCCGAAACACCGCGATTCCCTCGTATCGATAAACGACGTTCCCACGGACACACCGTCGTCCGAAACCCCCCCCCCCCTTCGACCGGTTCCACCGAACCGACCGGTCCCATCCGACCAGATGCGCGCCTCACCTTGGTCGCAGAGGATCCCTCCCCAGTTGATGTCGCAGATGCACTGCCACGGCGCATTGCAATAGCCGTGCTGGCATCCCGGATACGGAATGCACTGGTCGCAGAATTCGCCTCGCCAGCCGTGCCGACATCTGTAAAGAGGATTTCGATTAAAAACATTTTTGGTGGTTTCCAGAAGGAACCGAACTCAACTCATTCATTAAAAAAAAAACACACCTTGAAATTTGATTTGGACGGTTTGTCATATCAATCCACGACTTAACTTAAAAGTTTTACAATGCCACCATTCAATTTGATTCTTTAAATTCATTCATAAAAATGCACGAAGCTGAATACTCCTTAGATTGGGAATGTAACTTGAAACCTGTGCTGCACTGCTGCAGGCAAGATGCCGCCCAATCAAGATGGAAATAATTGACTTGTCGCGTCATTGATATGATTTATGATTTGAACTCCTTCATTGAATCATTTTCGTAGGGACTCGTGATTTAGAGTCAGCGCTCTGATTTGTGAGCTGCCCACCTCCGGTGATTTCTTCCAGCAGACGGACAGCTGGGAATTTTCGGCACTTGACACGCCAGAGATTCGAGGTGAAAGGAAAGAAAGGAGTCGGAAGGAAAGGTTATCGGAGCTGGATCGTTCTCGTTCCCGTCTCACGAAACGCCAAGATTGATGGCGGAATGGGTTTCTACCGAACCGGTATAATTAGCCTGCCTACTGACGCCAATAAGGCCAGAGGCGATCATCAATGACCCCGGAACTCTGGGATTCACGATGATTAGAAGCGGGAATTCTCGGAAAACGAGTCGTGGGAAAAAGAGTTCTGCAACGGCGAGGATGAGCCTAGCGGGGAGTCAAGGGGATTTTAATGTATGGAAGTTTGAGCCAGGAGCTCATCAGAAGTCCTGCTGCGCCTTCATCAAGTGCTTAGTAATTGGACCATGTTCAGAAGTCGTGAAGGAGGCTTGAAGGCCCGAAGCTCGGAGCCAATGCGTGACGTGACTCCCCTTGTGATTATCCATCGGGACAAAACTCTTCTCTCCCTTCAATTAAACTCCGTGACTGGAAGAATTCCTGGCATGTGCGCGTGAACTATGATTGGGTTGAATCAAAGCGAGCATGCGAGGGGAACGGCGCCCCTCGAATTAGAAGCAGCGAGAAAAAAAGGGAGAGAAACCCCTTTCGGATTTTTAAATTAGATGCAATTTCTTCCCCCCAAAAGCTTTTGTGTGGGGGTCGACATGGAACTGCTCTCCTCCTTACAGTGCGGCTGATGTACGCTTTCGAGACGCATAATAACTTTTTTTTTTTTCATGGAACAGGCGACTCCCGCTTCCGTCGAAACATGGCAAACAGGACCGGGAAAGCGAGAGAAACCGGAATGTGTGCATGGCAAAAATGAACGCAACAGGAAATGGGTACTCGAACACTCGGAGTAAATAGAGTTCGGCGGCGTACGAGATGAGAGCTGCAATCCCCCCCCTCGACCGCCGTGTATTTGTATATATATACGTGTCTGTTTGTGATAGGCGATAACAGACGGGGACATGATCCATCAAAGTCTCGTGTTATTCCAAGTCACCGCGATAACATAAGTCTTTGTTTCCCTTTCTGAGCACTGGGAATGATTCAATCCCCCTGATTTCCATTCAATGGTCAGCCGCCGATACCGGCGCCATACCTGTCACCTTGTCTGTCCCTCCGTCTGTCTCCTTCCTATCGAGTCGCTCGGAAATTATGGGACCCCACAGGACCCCACAGGGCCCTACAGGTCTCCTCGGTCGCGCTCATGCATATGAAGTTCAAGCGTCTTTTTGTTTGGGTTATCTGCTTCTTTTGACCTTCTCCGCAATCGCTTAATCGGCTCCCATTGTGTACTTATCCACTCATATCTCCTTATGTGCACTAAATGGAACGCATTATAAATTAGTATAAAAATAAAAGCACCGTGAACAATGCATTTTCCATGGAGTCATCCAGGCTTTCGTTCCGACTCGTCGTGGAAAAAAAAATTAAATGTTATGAAATAGCACTTCGACACAGATCGTTAAGAGAATTTCCTGCAGGCTCCGGTTTCCGTGAAACTAGCGGCAGGTAGAAACGATTTGAAAGCTTAATCGGCCGTGACCGTACTCATGAGACTCAAAATCGAAGGGGGGGTGAATATTCCCAATTGCTTCCGCTTCCCCCCACTCCTTTCTTTAATCCATGGGAAAGGAAAGGAAAGGAATGGGAGGGGAGCAACGGTGACCGTTCTGGAATGTAGAAAGCCTTGCGGTGCTACAGGGGCGTAAGGGGGGGCAATGGGTATGGCAAGGGGGGGCAATGAGCATGGCAAGGGGGGGCAATGGGCATGGCAAGGGGGGGCAATGGGCACGGCAAGACGAGAACGAAACGGAAATTAAGTCCGATGACGTTCATCCAGCGCGTGACATGATCCGTCTCACGCGCATCTCGCGCCGGATCATGAGATGGCTTTAAAACTGATGGAAAAGCGTAGAAGGTAGAATGGGGGGAGAAACGCGGTGAGAGGTGCACGAAGGAGGACGTGGACTGGAATTAAAGGGAAAATCTAGAGCATAAATCATACGGTAAAACGTGGATAAGATAAGATGACACTCACATGCATTCTCCTGGCTTCTCGCAATATCCGTGGTCTGGATGGCATCCCGTCCTGCATACGGCTAACGGAGGGGAAAAAATGAAGGTAAATCCCATGAATTACGATCGGCTACCGACGTACCAGTACCGGTACCGTCAGGACCGGTATACCAGTACATGAGAAAGTACGAGGTGAGGGGATCATTACCGGTTTCGCAATTGGGTCCCATCCATCCCTGAAGGCAAACCTTATCGCCATTCTCACCACAGGAATAATGGCCGAACATATCATCTCTCGGTCGGCAGTACTTCATGCATGTGTAATTGTAGTAATTAGGGTCGCATTTCACTCGGATTCGGTAGGTGATCTTCGCCCTGGTCCCGCTGTGGGTTAGGGTCTCCCACGATGGACCGGGGATAATGATTCCCGAATGTGTCGCTCTGTCCATCAATCGATCCAGCGCTGAATGGAAAAAAAAAAAGGTTTGCACGTGTAAAAGGAAAAGTTTGCATATGAAGAATGAAGTGGGAAACCGAAACTATTGGCCGAAATCGGCCATGATGAGTTAATCATAAAATTATGAAAGGGCATCGCCCATAACTCAACAGTCTTACAACAAGGCTCTTTATGTCAATGAAGAAAAAAAAGGGTTCATTACTATATTCTACATTTCGACATCGGTTTACTGGCATTCATGGACATCGTGCGGGAAAAATACACTCCTGCGGATATATTCATAACGAGCTGGGCAAGCCCAGACCAGTAGTCGGCCTATAAAGAGGGGTTTCATTTTATCACATCATTGATCAAAATGCAATCAGAGCCCGCATCTCGACCCCCCGCAATTCATTTCTTGATCAGAGGTTTTCAGAACATGAATCAGCATGAATCGAGAAAAACGATAAAGTGGTGACGCTGCAGCGAATTGGATTGAATGGAATTGAACTGAACTGAATTTAGGGCTAACGATTTTATTGAATAGTGGACAGAGGGAAGAGGGAAGCCCGGCGCTCATTATTGCGTGGTTAAATTGAAAATTTGAGGCAAAAAAGGCTGTCTTGGCAAGGTCTCTGCCAGAAACAAACAAAACGCATCAGCATGCCAATTATCATCGTGACCAGGGAGATCCTTCCAATTTTAATGAAAATTGCTGACAGAAGCGCCCAGCTTGCGTCTCACTGACCGTTTCGGCCGGTCATGATGTCGCCTGTTCAAATCCGATTTACCTAACAAGGAGCCCACCGCATTTGTCATCGAGAAGAGTCGAGGAAGAAGAAGGGAAAAAAAAATCAATTCTGCATCTTAACGCAGGGACCAAAAAAGGATGGAGGAAATGGGTCGAGTTCTTTCTCAGACATTCCTCAGGAGCCATAAACGTCAAGACCCCCGTATTAAAAGGGTTATGAGTCGACATGAATGCAGACACAGTTCGAGTTACTCCCCGCAGGAAGTCATGGTCTCCTTATTTGCCACGAGGAAGAAAAGAGGGGGGAAAAAGACAACGCGTTGAAATTAGTCACGCGGAAGAGGGGACAGTAGTCGACAGAGAAGATGGCCCTCGATGATGGAGACAGAACTGTAATGTGCATCCTCAGTGGAGACCGTAATGTGCATCCTCGAGATACGAGAACAAGTTTCATCAGAAGCGCGACCATAAACGGGGATTTATGCGGCCTCTTCAATCCAGATGGAGGTGAATTGGAGTAAAAAAAAAAAAAACCCGAGGGGTAAGGACTGGAGGCACAGCTGTGTTGTTCTATGGTTGCGGCTCGTGCCATTTTTCAGCATCATCACATGATACTCTGAAGATGAAGATGATGCATGAAAGCGCATCTGCTACTCATCATTCAAGCCTCGGGGCTGCACCAGCCTTCCTTTTTCCCTGCCTCCTCCTCCTCCTTCCTGTTCCAGGACTGCAGGAGCAAGTGGATTCCGAGCTAGATTCTTCCTGATGGCCCTGACGCGAGACGACGTAGGCTCCTCGTGTGAGGCCATCCGTGCGAAATTGAATCATTCGACGACGGAATGCGGATGGGACGAGTCTCTTCTCGCAGCAGAAAGGGCCCAAGAGGATACACAATGAAACAATCGAGGTAATGCAGGAGCCCCGAAGAAGAAAAAAAAAGTCTGTCACGCGACAGGAAGAAGCAGTCGGTGGAGAAAAGAAGAAAAAGAGAGGATGAGTAGACAGATTTCGCGGAGTGTAATCCATTGAAGCGGCAAATGGAGCATGGGGCAAAGGCAAGGGACGGGGACAATGCCTTCCCATTCTGCATGACAATCACATCCAAAAATCCATCGGCATTTCACTTATTGGCTTCGTCACCCCCCACTATTGCCAATCGGAATCCTCCGTCGGTTTGAGGGTTGCATCTGCAGAAATGATGCATGAACTTCAGGGAGGCCCCTTTTAGGGGAATTCCCCCGGTTCCGAGGCTGGGGTTCTCTGGTTTCCACCTAAAGACTCGCTGACAGGGTAATCGGAAAGAAGTTGAAAGACAGAAGGGGAAAGAACCATAAATACTTAGGCTATACGGTGAAAAATGAAGCCAAGACGGGAAAAAAAAGCAAAAAAACAAAAGGTAGAAACCGAGTGCATTCCTCCCCCCATTTATGAATATGACGAAGGGAGAGGTGAGTTGAGGGGCTATTTTTGTTCTTCCTGCTTAACGTCCTCTGTCATTCGTCATAAGTCCTTCTGCTTTCGGGGTGCCTCTATTTTTTCTCACTTCTCCGATGACACAGACAGAGAGGAAGTGCCCATGCACGCTCCCTGCGAGGGTCGAGTCGAGTTGAAGCTCCCTGGTGGGCCGAAGAAGACGACTCAATTAGCCGTGGTCGAGAGAAACCTATGCAGATGTATGCAAATGAGTTTAACCACATGAGATAATGGGGGTTCCCCTGGTCACCATGAGAACGACCTGCTGAACTGACACTCACTTCCCCCTTTCCTTTCCCCTTCCCTCTGAGCGCAGTGGAGGCGAGCATCAAAAATGCGTGATGATTTCCGTGGAAATGCTTTCGCCGCCTGAGCGCGATGAGCATGAATTTACGCGACCGCGTTTGGTGTTTGATGATGAACGTGATGATGACGGAAACTGGATCGAGTTCGAGTACTGAAAGAATGGGGACTTACCAACGCCAGTTTTGTTGTCTCTATCCACCGCCTCCAGGATCAGCGTGAAGGATTTCTGAAACAAAAGAAATGGGAAAAAATTCTCAAACTCAAATAAACCAGAAGGGGATGAGATCGTGCTTTCTCCGTGGCATTCTTAGCAGGCTGATTCATATGACCTGAAGACTGCTCCAATATGACGAAGTTATGAACAAACGACAGTCAAACGTGACTGAAAGCAACCATGGAAATGGTCCCAAAAACAAGAATATGGAAAAGTTTTTTTTGTCAACGCAAAGAAAATATGAACAAAATGAAAATGGGAGAATTTGGCAAAAATACTCGAATAGACATCGGTAACCCTGAATGCGATCAAAAATACGTCCGTCCATTTAAATCCATGGTCAAAACATGACCCCTCAAGACCCTATGACCTGACAGCATAGATTCCCCACGGGATGCCAGGAATCCAGAGTGAATGGCTGAAAAATGACTCAAAAGAGAAATCCATCTTCCAGTCACCTGGTAAACACAGACAGAGCATTTCGAAATGGATGGATGGAGGTTGTTACAGCAACGGTGCCAAAAAGGTATAAAAAGGCTGAAAACAAAAATAAAGGCTATCCGTGCCAGTACAAGGAAGGGGAGATCTGACACTTCCTTAGTCGAAGGGCATCGCCCGCAGGACTTCCTATCAAAATGGCTTTTGGCATTCATTAGTATGTTCCATTAAAACCTTGACACCCAGTCCAGGCCCTACTCATTATGCAAGAATTATGGTGTCCCTTGCCTCCTTAGCAATTACGTTGCCAGAAGGGGCTCTAGAGGGACCGCACGAGTGGCCAATCCGCCCGTTTAAAGTTATTTCCGACTTCGTCTGTGGCTCGTGCCAGTGTGTTCCCAGTCCACTTTTCTACTTAAAAACGCTAATGGAATTACTTCTCATATGGCAGGCTTGCGGATCATGGAGAAAAGGGAATCATTAGAATTTCTAATATTCCCGATATGTGTCAAACGAGCAAATCTCAGTCCCCCACCCAGGATTGGCATGTAATAATGAGGACGGAACCGACTCCAATGCCGCTGCAGCTGGACTCGATTGCGTCATCAAGGATGTAATCGCGACTTGCTCCTTGTGATTCGCATTCAATCACGTAGGCAGGCTGCTAAGTAAGATTCCTGTTCCTTGCATGGACATGCAGTGGCGTAGGATGTTCGTGTGTGCAATCCCTTCTTTTCTCTCTGACCTTGGACATTCGTGACAAAGTCAGGATGTCGAGATGCAGTGGCAAATGGGAAACGATCGGATCCGGGTTTGGATTCCAGTGGGGTCCCCCAGCCCCTCCCCAATCGCACCACAATGGCCCCCTTTACGAAAACACTTCCTGTTTCCAAAAAAGAAAGACTGTCACGACTCCTGTTTGCATTTTTAGACTTTTTTTTTCCCCTTTCTTGCCTACTTGCTTCCTTCCTCGAGCATTCATTCCCTCCCTGGAACGTTGTTGATCCCGAGGACCATTGTAGACGGCCTGGATTTCCGTCCACGTGCACGGGTGGAATTAGGCATCAGGCATTAGGGGGTTGGGGGAACTCATTTGTACGTGGGCGTGTGCACGTGGGCATTCCGTGTCCACTCTACCATTGACCCTGTTTTCACTGCCAAAATTAGCTTCAGCACGAGCAGCACATGTATGCAATGAGGAGACCATTTCCGTCTTTCATCCTGCCCTTTGAACCCCGTCCATCCCATTTGACTTCCGGACGGTGACGATGGCAGATGGGTGAGAATATGAAATGGTTGACTCATCCCGTTGGGTTTTTATATGCCTCAAGAGACCCGTATGTGTGGTTTTCAGACCCATATCCATGAGGATTCTTTAATGGAATTAGCTCACTCCCCCTTTTCGGATGGGTTTGCATATTCGAGACACTCAAACTTTCCTATTGCTCTCAACCCTTTTCTCTCGAGAATTATAAAGGAAGGCGAATGGAGTTAGGTGGCAGGGAAGTTTTAATAAGATTCGGATCTCCTGGGGATGAAGCCTTGTCAAACTGTCTTTGATTGCACGAGAGAAAGTGAAAAGTCTTATCTGATCCTAGCTCCGCCCTATTGACTCCACCCTTCCTCTGGTGTGACTGAATCTCTGGTAAATGCGAAGCATCTCTTGAAAAACATGAGGAAAAAAGCATTTCTTATCAAGGTGCATGAAAGATGATACAGAAACAGCGACAGCTTCAAAAAAAAAAGAGAATAAAATAGGAAAGGGAAAAAAAAAACTCGTGAAATATTGAGGACTGCTTTTTTCCAAGAACTCAGAAAGGTCACAGAGCAGGGCTCAGATCTGATGTAGTATCAAAAAGTCGGCAGACAGAAGGGGAGGCTATCACAACAAAGCTTGCGTCTATCTTTCATCGCCTGAAGCCTGACTCAAGTAAAAGAATATCGTAGTCTCTGATTACACGTAGAAGTGGCGCCCCCGGGCCGTGGAACCCGCACCTTCCAAACAAAGTCCCGACAGTAGACGTCACGTCCTCCCGACTCCTCTCCTCCCATTGCCCCCTCTCTGCGGTGGACCCAGCATCGAAGATAAGTGGATGCTGATCACGACAGAAAAAAACTCTGTCCGGTACGCGGAGAGAAACTTCATGAATAACGAGTCTGGAAAGGAGAGAGAAAAGGGAAGAGAGGGAAGGTGGAAGGGGCAGAGAGGCAGATAGGAGGATGATTTCTGGCCTCCCTCGGGGTAGAATCAAATGAACCTGCCGGCCACATTCTTCCCCCTCGCGTAATTGGGAAAGATGAGTTTTTGTTTGCCACTGTGCAAGAGAATATTATCGCGAAGGGGAAGAGGGGAGAAACCGACGCGGAACTCCGCACTTCTTCACATAATCTACGGCTTCTGACTCCAAATGAATTCCCATCCTTCGACCCCAGGAACCCCGACCACTACACAGATCGAATCCAGCCTGGATCCGTCCAGCCTTTCGCGGGAGATTCTGAAGATGACCTTTTATATGCATGACTTCACTGTGAAATAAAGGGAGGAGAACGTCACAGGTGACGTGATTCTTTCAGAGCCATCCGGCGTACATAAAACGCCCCGCCGATGATAACTTGCCATGAATCAAGCCAATGAATGAAGCGGAGAGTGAGCAAGTGCGAGCGGAATTTTCTTTATTCCGCCGGGACTCGGCGTTTTCCATGCCGCTGATCCTCAATGGAATATCCTGACCTCAGACGCAGATCTCGGCTCAACAGTTGGCCCTTTTCCCACCGGGGAGTTTTGTCACACTTTCCGCTGGCGTCATTTCTGTCCACTCCATTGGCCTCCTGTCCCTCGGGGATCCTTGGATAATTGACTCCTGGCTGGAATCATGTCCTGCTCCCCTTTTCTGGATACTCGGGGATCGGAACTACTTCTCATTGAAAACCAACATTCCGCTTCCCCCCTACCCCGAAAAAAAATACTCAAGGACTTGTGGAATCATAAATTTTTAAATTGATGGAAAAGGGGATCGCCCAGTTGGTTTTCATGCGCAACATCTGTCACTCGATGGCACAACTCTCACTCATGATAAAATGAGTTTTTTTCTCCTCTCCAATGAGTGGCGCACTCATTGGAGGGGAAAAACCTCATTTTGTGGAGAAACAGCATAAACTTCAATCTGACATCAGGGACGAGTGCTTAAACGACTTAAATGAAGGGTTATGAGCAACAATGAACTCGGATGGATTTAATCGGCATATGGAAACCAATTCATCACTTTGAAACCAATTATCCCAAGAACCTTACCGCATTTTGCTTTCAAGAAATCATAATTTTCTCAAACCGACCCCTTGTGTTCTGAAGATTTCTCGCTGCCCTACACATTTACGAATCCCATCGTAAGACATCATTCCCCCGCAACGATTCGCCTGCAAGTTGCCAAGTTTTCCCGCCCCACCCCTCAAAGTGTCCCTCCATTTTTTTCCCCCCTCGTCTTCTTGCGGATTGGAAAGGCAGAGTTTTGTATACAGTGGGGGGAGGAGAGGAAGGAAGCCGGAGGCATTCATCAAAACGAGGAACTACAGCACACGACACATGGAACGCAAGAGCATCTCATCTCGTCTCTGTCCAGCTGCTTCTCTGTCTGTCTGTCTGAGGCTGAGGCAGGAAATGAAGGAAACACGAGCAGGATACAGTGTATACAAAACTCATCCTGTGCTTTTTTTTCTCTCTTCCCTCATTCTCCGCAGTACAGACACCTCTGGTGCTGTACGTGCAGAAGAAATTCCCCGGCGCGCAAACGGTGTTTACTGCCCTTGCCAGCAATTACGAGCAATTACGCAATCCGGCCCGGAGAACCTACCACAGGTATCCCTTTTGTTTCATGTATCCCTCCTCGATTCATCATGTTCCTGGACAATGGAACCAGACAACCCCGGCGACGACTTTATCGGAGGTATTTTCTTTTAGCCGAACCGCGCCGAAAAAGTCGAGTCCGCGCACGGCGACTCGGCTCCATTAAAGCGCAGCATAAGATACATTAATATGGAAATGAGCACGCCATTACCGAGGAACGGCGGGTCCGGGAGAGAAGGGGAATTTGGAATCGAACTGCCATTTTTGTTCATCAAAACCTGACAGCGAGGGATATGGCTCGTTTTAATGCCTTCGGGTCTCGGGGGGGATCTCACTGCGGTCTTTGTCGAGAGACATGAGTTATGCGACAGGAGACCTCTCCATATGAATGGCACCCACTACTGAGAGGGAGAGGGGGGAACACGACAAAAACTACCGAAATGCCTGCATACGGACTCCCTTCCCACAAGATCCATGCTCGCTTGCTCACTTTTCGATCTTTGTATCTCTGGAAACCAACGTCGCTGCCTTCACTGAAGACGCACTCCCTAACCGTTAGGAGGCAGGGAGGGCGGAGATGTTGTTTCACTTCATACCGTGATTAAATTTTCGATCATCGAATCTCCTATCATCAATTTTTATTTCTAGGAATGGGGGCAAGTGGGGGCAGTTGCCCCCCATCTTTCTACCTATGCCCCCGGCGCATCGGCTTCGTGACCGATGAGGGCCGCTT